GTGGGGTGATGGTAACGTTCGTATGAAGTAGCACACGGTCTTGATGCCCGCAAAGTTCCGAAACTATAAACCCAAGAGACCGGCAAAACGCGTGTGCGCACAAAGTTGGTGCATTTGCGGCTTTTCGCCCCTGGAAATTCCATTTCACCAGTCTCGTCTCTGGTAAATAATGGGATAGAACAAGACATGATCCAAGCTGTGAGAAAAGAAAACATGGTAACAATGGGAGGTTGCAAGAAGTGTACATGTCCGAACTGTGCAAATCGCACAGGGTCACTATTGGCGGCGGTACCTTGTTTTAGGAGCCGAAAGCTCCTTGGCTCCATGACCTGAGTGTTATGTCGATCTAATTCTCTCTCTCTCTCTTTACATGAAATTCTCATGCGGAGCCCACCACCTGCTGTCCATCAGCCCATCAGCTCAAGGTACACAAGACCAAATCCACAGGAGCTCTCCAACACGGCACGCCAATCGAGGAGCTTCTCGTCGCCAAATGCTTACACAGTCGGCTTCGACGCCTCGCTCCTTCTTGGCCACCTGGGAACGGCGGACACCGGGGCAGTCGTGAAACGCCCGACTTACTATACCACTATATACATCCATCTACATCCCACTACTATACCCTAGTCTATACCCTATGCATCCCTATACAATGTCATAAAGCAGCAGCACACCTACTATAGCATCCTATAGCAAATTTGGGCACGTTGCGGGATACAGCAAACAGATATGGCCTGACTTGGTGGTCTGGCTCGTGGAGCCCACCATCGAGCACAACATATCTGGAAGACTGCGCCAATGCACCCAACTTTCTGAATATGAATACAATTGAATATATATATATATAAGACTTAAGACCAAGTAAGTCACCCCCAAAAAAGTATATAGATGTTGTTTCGGTCCGTTGTTTCAACGTGTCTCAGATGGTTCCGAGACAAGTCCCCACTGCCATCCCGAGGTGCGGGTGGAAGTTGGCCAAACCATCGGCCGAGGAAGGCCAGCGTGGAGCCGAAGAGTAGCCAGGGCGGAAAGGCTTGGTGTGCAAAGGCCACACCAAAAGCCAAATGTCCCATGAGAGCCAATCCAGCTCCTGATATCCAGACGTATATAGATGGAAACAATCCATTAAATACATTAATAAACAGTATGTTTTTTCTCCAAGTTCATGTGATGGACACATATGGACGCTTTTCTAGTTTAGATATGAAAGGAACCTTGCATTGGACCTTTTCAACTGCTTTCAACAAGAACCTCGCTGCTTTCTATCAGACATCTGTCAACATTGGTCCTGCATAGAGGGCTTTCCGCGGTTGCGCCGGAACGAAGACAGCTCGTCCAGTCTCTTCCAGGTCTGCCTTGTCCAGTCGAAACTGGCTACCGAGCACCGGACTCGGCAAGCAGCCCATGACCGAGTCCTCTGTTGCTGGAGGAGCACAAAAAAGCGCCAACTGCATTTCGCCCCAAAGATAGAAGGCGGTCAAGAGCCCGGCCAAGACAAGGGTCAACTGCCTCAACCTAGGTTTGAGACACTGAAATCATCTGAAATATATATTAATATCTTTTGTATCATCTCACCCGGTGGTGGATGATGGAAACTTCAAACAACTACCGTTTCGCTGCCAGGCCACCAGTGTCCTGTCTCCAGTGTGACAGTTCCACAACGACAACTCAGCTCAGAAGCCCACACCAACAGCCATGGCCATGCCATCGCCGCACCGAGCAACCTCACCCGCCCCAGCAGGGTAAGCAAAGGCAAACCAAATTGGTGACCCCAACTGCCGATGGCATAGACTGCAGCCTCACGAGTGGAATGCGTCCCTGGGCCCGAATCGGGTCCCTCAAGAAGCACGACACAATCTTAGTGCAGTACTTTTGTTGATGGCTGTTTTTGTTTTGGCTCTCATCGCATGCTCCCCACCTCCATGGCTAACGCGCATTCCACAACTGCCAGAGTGGTGAACAGCATCGCTTCAGCACCAGTGGCCACAGCGTGAACCCACAGAATCCACCCATGTCCCAGCGCAATGGCCCAATAGCCTAAGGTGGCCAAGCGACTGGGCTGAGCCGCTCCAGAGAGCACAGCAGGGGCGGAGCCGCTCTTGCTGCTTTCCATGGGGCCGGACGGGCCAGCAAAGAAACCACCAAAGAACTGGACACCGATGGGCGTTCATGCAGCGTTCATTGGGCTTTGCTTTTTGAGATGTTCTGCGTCTTGGCCTAATCCTCTTCACAACAAGACTGTCTACAAACTTCGGACGATGTTGGACACGAAGGTGAAGCAAGCACACAATGACTCATGACCTTCAACAAGGTGTCAGGTCAAGAAATCATGTGAATTCCAATGACAGCAGTTCATCTGGCATGTGTGGCCTACCAGGAATCCTCACCCTTGACTCGTGTGGCACTCCTTTGGTGCTGAAGCTGATCTTGAAAGATTGGCCTGCACCGCGAGGCACTGTGGGACAGAAAAAAGAAACATCATGCTGAGTAGTCTGGGGACCTTGATCCTGCCACAGGCACTGCACGAGGCGTCCGAGGCCATCACCGGTTCCGGTGGCGGTGGAGGTGGCAAGACGCTGGCCTGCGCACGGTGATGGTCTCACCATCGGTTTCCATCGGTGCGCACGAGCGTGAAAACGCAGAAGCGCACGGTCCTTGGGAGGCGTGCGTGGCGCCATAGAGCCCTGACAGGTGGTTCAAGAGGCCAAGCGACTCACAACACATGTGGGTCCAAACTCCCCTGGATGAGCGGCTTGACTCGACGGGATGGAAGATGCAAGCGGGTTGGATGGGCAAAACCGCAAGCGAAAAAAGAAGAACGCACAAACAAAAAAGGATTGGACTCCAAACACCTTCCTTTTCTTCCCTTTTCTTTCTTTCAAAGTGCAAAGAACCTCTCCTGTGAGGTCATTTCTCTGGGCGGCGGCGGGACTGATGCCTCCGGCACCCAAGCTGCGACCGGACCGTGTGGTCCAATGGTGAATGCCAAATGCCAAAAGTGTGCAGCAACCTGCTGACATGGTGTCAACATAGGTCTCATTGACCCCATGGCAGTTCAAGCCCTGTTCTTAGTATCCTGTGTTTGCATCCTCTAACAGCCCCTCGGCGGGTGGTGAGGGGAGTGACCAGTAGCTCCGTCCTTTGGGGGCGTCATTGGAGTCTTGGCCACCTGAGCGAAAACGCACGGTGCGAGCAGCTGTGACGGGCTCTGATGATGCAGTTGGCAAGAAGGAAGTATTTGACAAAGTCAGTGTCCAAACCAAATCACTTTCATGTTTGGTGACAATTTAGTATCAATTTTGGAGACAATTTCCAACAATATCTCTAAACATGATCACTTCACACAACAAATTCCAATAGGTGTGCTGAGCGCACCCTTCAGCACCTGCTACTCTGCTACCCGTTGCCTCCCGCCTCCAGCTTCTTGGCTTCAGGTGCTGCCTGCGGATCAATGGTGACGAAACGCCACCAAAGCACGAAACAGCTGAGTCAAAATGCAACTGAGTCAATTGTGCCTCTTCGCTGCTTCAATGCGGCAGTATCACTGCTTGGTTGCGTCTTGAAGGTGCAAAGCTTCTGAACCTCTCACCTCATTTCCCTACCCATATGATTCTATCCACAAAGCAAGTGTCGTCTTGTCCTTGCAGTGTGTGATGCAAGGTCAAATGCATGTGATCTGATATCAAATTGAACATCCGCTGCTCAGGTCGACATCACCGCCAATCACCCAGGGAGCCTTGGGTTTGGCACCAGGTTGTTGGTAAACCTGAGTTCTGGTATTTACAGCTAGGCTGCAACTGCCCCCGCAGTCGATGCATGTTTTCTTCGCCTCCGCCTCCCATCTTCTCGCACCACGATTCGCACCAACAGCACGGTGTGCAGTAGTTAGGTGTTTCATGGATGAATCAATCTGGGAACCTTCAATTTGTGCCAAGTGGCCGGTCGCTTTGGCCGCCGCTTGGCCTGGCCAAAAAAGCAAACCAAGTCGCCAAGTCGCCAACGAAGAAGAACCAGTGAACCTCAACTGGAAAGCTTAAGCTACCTCATTAATTTCAATTCTTGCGGCTGTACTCCCATTTCTTGCAGGAACGGTATGGAACGGTCATATCCGATGCAGCATCCTATGCGATGCAGCGATGCAACTAGTTCTTAATAAAATATGGATCTAATTTGAGATGTGGGCACTCTTGGCACCAAGAATGAGCAAGTGCTAAAGCCAAAAAGACTGATGTAGGTCAGGGAGTTTGTTAATTTCACCAAAGAACTGCACTTCTCAAAGGCATCCTCCCCAACATGGATCACTGAGTCAGGGATGGTCAAGCTTGCCAAAGATCTGCAAATCTTAAAGGCACCGTCCCCAATCTCCATGACAGACTTCGGGATGATCAAGCTTGCCAAAGAGCTGCAATTCCAAAAGGCACGACGACCAATGTGGGTCACTGAGTTCGGGATAGTCGAACTCGCCAAAGAGGTACAATTCTCAAAGGCACAATCCCCTATGTAGGTCACGGAGTCTGGGATGGTCAAGGTCACCAAAGCGCTGCAGTTCATAAAGGCATGATCCCCAATGTGGGTCACTGAGGTCGGGATGGTCAAGTGTGCCAAAGAGGTGCAACTCTCAAAGGCATTCTTCCCAATGTGGGTGACTGAGTCCGGGATGGTCAAGCTCTTCAAGGAGCTGCAACGCCAAAAAGAAAAATCTTCAATGCGGGTCACAGAGTTTGGTATGGTTAAGGCCGCCAAAGAGCTGCAATCCCTAAAAGCACCATTCCCAATGTTGGCAACTGAGTTTGGGATGGTCAAGCTTGACAAACAGCGGCAATTCCGAAAGGCATCATCTCCAATGTACGTCACAGATTCTGGCATGGTCACGTTCACCAAAGAGACGCAGTTCGCGAAGGCATCCTCCCCGATGTGGGTCACTGAGTCCTGGATGGTCAAGCTTGCCAAAGACCTGCAAATCTTGAATGCACCGTCCCCAATGTGCGTGACCGAGTTCGGGATGGTCACGCTTGCCAAAGAACTGCAATTCCAAAAGGCACGACGCCCAATGTGGGTCACTGAGTTTGGGATGGTCAATGCGGCCAACTGCTTGCAATCTGCAAAGGCCCCGTCAGAAATGTGAGTCTCATGGCTTGGGATTTCAGCAATCAACAAAAGTTCTAAGTCGTTGTCACTCCCCAAATGAGCGATGGCACCTTTGTCGGAACATCTGACGATGTTGGTTTTGAATACTAAACTCACACCAGTATCTGCAGTGAGTCCGGCGTCTGCCACCTTCTCATCATTTCCCAGTAGACGGTCTCCAACAACAATCTCCACGGCGGTCGTTTTGTGAGTGAACTCGTCCCAGGTGATCTGAGCTTCTTTGATCTGCTTCTTCATCTCTCTACCGGTCGTCTCTGGCGTCACTTGAAGATCGATTTCTTCGCCATTCATCTGCATCGCTGAAATTGTCGCCATGGCGGTTTTCTACAACCACTCAGGGTCTCAGCTGCTATTGATGTGACAGTACGCTAAGCTTCTCTGAGCTGCTTGCTAGCATCAGGTGGGGCCCATTGCGAGCAGTCCTGGTGGCCATTCAAGTATATTTCAGTACATGCAAGAAATGTGAAGCGACTCCAGGACTTTAGTCGGCCACACGCAAAAATAACTTTGTTTGAAGTCCATGATGGCGACTCAGACTTGGGCCAGCAAGATTGTCTCACATAGGCTCAGCATCACATCATCTGAACATATCTGAACACTTCATTGCATGGTCATGAGTCATGACTCATGACGATGTCTGCATTGAAGGGGTCACAAGAATGCCAACTGAAATATGTGGATCGCATGAGCTCACAGCGAAAAACTGTAGGGTGCCAAGATTCGTTTCAGGGCACATGTTTCATCAGGGTCCTTCCACCGATGCATGACAACTGAGAACATCTGATCCCTTCGTCTCCCTCCTTGGCCGATGCATGTTGCAAGGGCTGCCTCGAGAGGCAAAATCTGACTCGAACCGTGGAGTGGTGACAACACGGAATTGAGGAACTTATGAGGTGATACAACTTAAGCTGTGTGTGCAGGACCTTTCAGTACAGGAGTGAATCTCAGCAACTCAACTGCAAACAGCGTCGACCATTCTAGGCACCATGAAAAGCAGCGAGCTCATTGTGTTTTGATTGGGGTTTGAGTGCCAAAGCTCAACCAGGAGCTTCTGAAGAAAAGGATTGCAATAATAGGAGGTGCAAATCAAGCTCCAGGCGGGCGATCCTTGCTTTCCTCCCTCTGGGCAGCCTGAATGGTGAAAACATGTAAAAACACTTAAGTTGAGTTGTTTTCAAGATAGTTATTGTAGTTTTTTTTTAAGGTGTATACCCATTTAAACATAGAACATTAGAACACCCTATATGATCATTTATAGATCATATGTACTTTTCCAGCCCTTCCCTCATGGACACTGTATCGTCTTGCCGGGTCTTGAAGTGTTCACAGGTTGACATCCAAGGACATGCATTGGATATATAAACAGGTATCAGGGAATATTGTTTTACAAAGAATGCTCCAAATCAAAGTCTATTACTATTGGATGAAATGCACTCGTATAGACCAGTAAAACTACCCTGATTAGGACAACGCATCATTTCATCAAAACTGGAACCTTGTGGCTTCATGTGACTTTTGGAAAAGAATCTCCCTGCCTCAGCCACCTCCATCTTGGCCATAAGCAAGCCCGAACTTCTTGCTGTTCCCTTCTCTGTCAAGGGCTCGGCAGGCCGCGCTTGGGCATTTCTGGGCAATGTCTTGGCAACTGGCTTGGCTGGCGGCACTGCTGACAGTTCTTGCTTTTTCATGCCAGGGATTGATCCACAAATATCCATCCAAGCCTCTTTGAGTCCATTTGGATCTGGCGCCTGGAAGAAAGGAACATTAGGCAGGCCCTCCAAAACATGTCAAAGGCCGTCCGTCCATGCTTGGGCTTGGGGTTTGAACACATGTGACAGGATGGAGCTGACACATGCGGCAACATATTGGACAAGCTCCACTCGTCACAATCTCTTGTGGACACATCTTCACCGGACGATGCAGGGGAGATTCTCGTTTCCTCAACCAACCCACAAGCCCCTGCGCCTCCCACAAAACCAGCCCTTCGTCATCACTGTCCTTGGCTGACCATTCTGCGAGGACGGAGGATCTTTTTGAGCATCCAACCCACTCGCTGTGATTTTGGACACTTGTTCCCCCCTCTCTCTCCTCTCACGATTTTGGAAACTGTGCTATGTATATATGACTTATTCTGATGTCAAATAAATCTTGCAAAGAGAGCGTGCATGCGAACAATGCACATCCAGCCCAAGTTCAAGTTAAGCAGACAACACTTTAGACAACATACAGCTTTGCTTTTTGCCCCGAGACTCGATCTCTCTTGGGGCTTGTGGAACCCATGCCCACTCTGTGCCATTGGGCTCGGAGGGAGCCATCAATACATCCCAGTTCACCTGCAAATGAGAACGCGGTCATCTCAAATGCAGGGGTTCAAAACCAATCACGACATGCTATGCCAGCTCCTGACCAACACATCTCATCATCAATGCACCATCCTTTGGAAGCTACTTACACCTCACCATCACTGACCAGAAAACGGCACGTCATTGCCCAAACCGTACTCCCCATTTCAGGCTGTGACACGACACCCAACAGTTTCCAACACTCAAAGCACAGTTTCCGGCCTCGTCGCTCAAGGGCACCCTGGGCGACGGGGGAGACGTGTTTCGCTCTGAGCCCGTCTCAGCGACCGCACGCCGTGCGACCGTGGAATCCGAGACTGCAGCGATGGGAGGAACTGTTCCAGCAAGGAGTGGATGCCAGCATTGTGGCGGTGTGATGCCGTGTGGCCATGGGTTTCCAAGCTCAACTTGCCAACTGGACACTTCTCAGGATTGCAGTCAGTTGGACCATTCTATGTGCATGGCCGTGCGGAGAGTCGATCTTTGAAGTCTACTGCAAACATAAGGAGAAACATGCAACTTTTAGATATCAAATGGTAATGTTACTTGAAGCCAAATGCAACTTTCCCAGGTGTTGTAAAAAACATTAGTGTGCCGTGAGACACGGCAGAAGCTTCGTCAGAATGCTTCCGGGCAGCCATTCATGTTCGCTGCCATCCTGTCTGTGGGGTTGCGTGCTGGAAGGTGGGGTGGACTCGGCACTAGTGACTACAACATTAAGCATGTCACCCGTTTTGCCGAAACCAGAACGGGCTTGGCCTTGCAGGCGTGCAACCACAACACCCCAAACCAAATTCATTCCATAGATTCTCTAAATGGTCCACTCTTTTGTTTTCGATTCTGAGCCACTTTGGACCCCCCACAACCACTATCCACGAATCCTTCGCTCTCCTGACAAAGCTCTTCTTTGATTTCTTGCTTCATGAGAGCCGCCTGCAGGTGGGTCAAGTTCAATCACTCACACAAGCCACTGGGAAATGAACGATGTCATATGACGCTCGTCATTCGGGGCTGCAGCAAGTGACAAAGCGCCTTTTTCTCCTGGACCACAACTATTACAGTTACAGTGGTTTCCGAGTAGATTGCAAAATCCCAAAAGGGGTACTGTATTATATGGGCCCCCATCTAAAGGACATCTCCTCCTACTCTGAAAGCATCTGCAACTACTGTAAGATGCCTACAGGAATGCCAAACAAAAGTGATTGAGAACCGCCTTGGGTATCTTGGGTCTGGTCCTCGCCCACTCCCACCTCAAGAAGAGTCGGATCGTCTGCTTCGACCACCAAAAGGTTCTCTGCCTAAAAATCGTGTGCGCTTCACCATGCGATGCCAAATGCATGCTTGATGGCATTAGGAGTTTGCAGCTGGATGGCACTTCAATATACTTCAATGTTCTAAATCTCACCAGTGACCATTCAAGGGGTGCCCAATGGACTACTCTACACTGCACAACTTATGGATCTCCATTGGGCACTCCTTGGAAGTTCCAGGTACGTAGATGTCACTGTCAGCTGAAATTGTTGGGGCTCCGATAATTTCACCAACATGTTTAAGTCTTGTCCCCCCGAACAGTCTTGGACAACCATTGTCCGTGGAGGTGGAAGAAACATGAACCAACGGATTCGCATCAGCGCTTTTCTTCCTGCTGGATGTGCCGGCTCTTTGCTCACCTAGGGTCTATGTCCAGTTTCAACCAGGCCAGCGAAGAGTGCCACCAATGAACGCAGCCGGGTGAATGATGCTGGATCACTCTTAATTGGGTGAGACGCTGCACGCAGGCCACAAATTGGGGGCGTACTTCTCGGTTCTCATTTCTTCCTCCACGATCTCATCTTTCCGCCGGTGCGCTTCAACCATTGCATCCATCATCCTCCAACCGTCTGCTGGTGCGCCCGGCATCGTTGGTGGCTCTGGCATCGTCCTCACCGTTGCTGAGGCATCATGGAGAGAGACGACTGAGGATGGGGCTGATGGACCAGCTAGCATGTCACAGGTGTAAGCTACATTGACATGACTGCAGCTCTCAACAGCTCGATGCCGTCATGAACTGCCGCAGATTCAATGGATTTCAATGGTGTGCGCTTTTGATTTCCAGTGCTGCTGTGGGATGTCTTCCTTTGAATAAAGCCCGTGAGGCCAGGTTGTAGGTACCGGCACGGAGTCGAATACACAAGTCAACAACACCCTCATGCCTCACGCAATCAAAAAAAACTATCCAAAGGACAAATTGTTCACTTGCATAAGCTGCACAAAGGCACCCGAAACTCCTTCCAAATGTGGCACCAAACGCCGACAATCGCAGAACGTTGCAGATCTACTGACAGCAAGCCCAAGCCTGACAAGGTCTTCAGCTTTGAGATTTCATGGATGCATCATACATGATGATGTATGGCATTTCTTCAACCCCTTCTGTACAGTTCTTACTGTGTCTTTTAGTGTTGTTTGTTCCGTTTCGTCTCGACATGGTTCTTTTTTCTTTTAAAGTGGCCAATACTTGCCAAAACACCCAACACCCGCACGGGCTCGAATGGAAGGTTTCGAGCGAATGCATCGACCAAACATGCGCTCCGCTTCGCACCTGGCTTTCAGGAGTTGGAACTGGACTCGGACTCGTGGGCGTCGCTGTGCTCGGACTCCTCGCCGCTCTGGAGTCCAAACGCGCACGAGTTCATCTGGTTTGGGAGGTTGGTTTGGGATTCAAGCCTTTGAATATGTGCATAATTAATTGTGATTAATTGTGTATATAAAATATGCATGAACAATAGAAACATGAATACGTGCACATGCACTTGCAATATGTGTTCGTAGGATATCCCATGCGTGGGTGCCAGTGCCTGTAGAGAGTGCACTTCTATAAACACACGCTCAAACAAAGTCTGGTAGTTGCGAAGAAACCAAAATGGACAATGATCTATGATCCCGTTGTCAAACTAGTCTGGTCAACGTACATATCTCAAAACATACAAGATACACATAGATACACTCCTCCAGCTGATCTAGCTTCTGCCTCCAGGTGCGAGGAGAATGGATAGTCTCAACTCCACGCTTACCTGGTGAGTCTGGAACGCCCATCTGAAGAAGAATGCTGTTGGCCTCCCACCAAAAAGCGATGGCCTCCAACCAACAAGCGCCTCCAACCTACTAGCGGCTTCTATTTCTGAAGATACATGCTCGTGGCATAATACATCATAATACTACAATACGTTTGTCCAAATTGGGTGGGAAACCCATCGCCCGTTTTGTGGCTACCTCCATTTCATGAGGCATGGACAACCCTGTGTTGTGGGGCATACGCCGCATTTTGTGATAAACCATGAAAAAACACATGCACCATGCCAACAAGGTGTTATTCTTTTTTCAGGACTGTAGCGCCCTGCCGCGAATAAAGGACCAACGTCAAAAATACATTGAAATGTGGCTGCATGCCTTGAAACGTGGCTGTACCGGACTACAGCGTGAATGCTGTACTTGAGAGAATGTGCCCTGTGATGAAACATAGAAAGTACGACATTTGAGATGAACAAAGGTAGAGGCAAGGCCTTGGAAAGGACAAATCATGAAGTCATGGCAGATCACTACCAATGCTCAACCGAGGTGTCTGTATGATTTCTCCTGTCAGCACAATGACGGTTCAATCTTCAACATGCTCGTATCGAACCTTCGGTTTGTGGTGTGCCAAAGTAAGCCAGCTCAAAGAACACCTCGCAAACCTGCTTGCCTCTGCAGGTACGACATTAGGGACGCAGTCCATCATGCGGCTCCACTCTTTGCCTAAGGTGCGGAAGAAGTGGTCCATACGATGCTGGAGAAAATGTTGCGGCATCTCGCCCGCGATGTAGCTCCGTATATCTTCCAAGTGCACTTGCTCTCTGCCATCACCTAAGACCGTTACCTGACGGCGATAGGTGTCCGTGAAACACCCCGATTCGTGGCAAACGTGAGGAGCAACCAGGGAATCCATTGGTTTGGCAGGGTAAAGCCGGCCGTATGTACTTAATCGGTCGTGTTGCACAGCCGCAACCGAGGGGTTGGTTGCGAATGCTTCTTTTTGAGGGGCAAACTGCTCAAATGCTCCCAGTTTGTGGCAGCTACAGCACTTGGTCCTCCAAATTGCCCGTTGCTTTGAATCGTTGGACCTAGATCGTGGACTCTATTGAGCATTTGGGAGCATCCATCTATGCCAAAATACAAAAAATCACAACACCACTACTTAGTTTTCCATCTGGGAGTTCACGTCGAGATACGATGACCTTTGAAGTGGTTCATTTTGTTCCAGTGAGATGCCTTGACATGCTGTCTTTCAATTGATTCATCAACTTTATCTCGGTCTCATCTACCCCCGCCTTCCTTTTCATTCTCGTTTTAGTTATCACTGGCCCCTGATGAGCCCCGCACATAACTGCATACAAGAAAGCCCCAAGCATTTGATGTTATCATGTTATCAGTCACCCTCCTGAGACCGTGGCAACAACTGGAAGGGCATGGGGTTTTGACCAGTGATCTTGAGAACCTTTTTGTTGTAAACATTGGAAGCCGTATGAGCACTACACTGTCCAACCGCAATTAGGGCACAAAACGTTGGATGCCGTTTCGCGTGATTCCGGTTCATGACATCGGCACGCAAACCGCTGTCATGGACTTGATCTGAGTTTGAAGGCTTGCCGGAGTTAATATGTGTGTAATGCTCCGTTTATATTTAAACTTAATATACATACATAATACATATATAATACATATATATATATATAGAGAGAGAGAGATATTCATGCCGCGAAGGTCCAAGCCAAGCAAAGGGCTTTGGAGGCTTTAGTTTAATTATGTTTTTAAGGCTTGTCCATCTCTTGATAGCTGCACGACTCCTGGTACTGTTAAGCTGCAGCTCAATCATCTCACCCATCAGCCAGCTTCGCACGGAGCAGCTACGCCCTCCTCGCCAAGGCCTCCGAGGTGCCACAGCCTTCTCAAAGCTGCCGTGGTCCTCCTTTCCCAGCGCGTCCCAGCCCATCTTCTTGGCAAAGCCCTGAACGCGCTTCGGCATGCCCGGGCTCTTTTCGGCCACGGGCTTTCTATCATGTTGCTTTGGCTGGGGTCATTCCTACACCCCCTCGTCTCGCCTTTCTTTTTTGGCAACCTCACCTCACTTGCCCTGCAGCAAATGTATAAACATGCACCCGTCCCCCCCGGCCCGAGCAGCCCGCCTTCAGATCTTCGGGCTGTAAGATTTCATGCTTGTTTCCAATCTTGTTTCCCACAGCCCTTGGGTCTCTCAGGTGCAAAGACCAAAGGCCACTGGCTTGTCCCTGTGTCCGTCAACAAGATCACTCAGTCTGATTCGGCCACCGTGGTTAGCGAAAAGGTCAGAAGGGCATCCGTTCTCTGACGTGGCTTGAATTGAATGGTTCTGATCCAAATTTGCCACACGTCACATCGATTCAGAGCTACTCTTACTTGTTGCAGGGAATCAAGCTTACCATCTGAGAAGTGGGAATCTAGTAATTCTTCATCAGCAATCTGGGAAGGCTGTCCATTGTCCATACCACGAGCGCCAACATTCCAGTCATTCCCTAGTTGTTTGGGCCATGGCACCGATATGCCCAGCGGATGCGATCTCTGCCGGCCAGCGCCCTTTCGGCTTGAGACACTTGATGTTCCCAGTCATCCCAGGCCTGGGCGACGTGGTCTTCTGGCTCGTCGCACTCCACCCTCGAGTGTTTGGTGAAGGGTGTCATGCATAGTCCATCAACAGAAGCCATTGAGATGTAATTACACCCCCCACCTTCAGCTGTTGCTGACATTTCTTCTTCGCTGCCATGTACTCAGTTTCCACCAGCTCCTGGGTGTGCCAGGTGCGTGTGGGGGCAATGGCCTCGCCAAGAACCGTGATATGGTCTGTAACCAGAGCCGACACAGCTATTTCTTAGTTTCCTTGATGATGTTGGCTTGGGATTCCACGGCTTGGGCAAAATGCACCTTCTTTGTTGATCAAAGGCAGGTTTTCAAGTTGACCTCACTCAAGCCAAGGCCTCTCCTTCTCCTTTCTGGTGAGCTTCTTCCCCTGCGGGCTAGGTCTGCAGGGACAGGCTCATGGCTTTTCACAAGCCACTCAATGTGCAACCCCACCCTCCACTGTCATGTTGCGACACACACGCACAAACAGACACACACGCACACAAACATGGAAGAATTAACCTGGTTGACAAAGAGCATCAACTCATCTCTGCGGGGCACGGCACAGCAAAAGCCAAGTCGTCCCTATCGATGTTCGAAACTACTCAAACATCTGCAGCTGGTTGTGCATGGGTCTAAGATGGTCTAAGAGTGATTGCAACATACTGCCAATGTCGGTGCTAACAAGCCTATACCTCAACAATGACCTAATGTAGACTCTTGATGAATATATAACCCCCCCAAATGAATCACCCCCCAAATTTATATGAAGAGGTTTTTCACTTCAAATGCGGGGAGGTGATTAATCAAGAGCCTACACTACGTTCCCTTGGCCGAATGCTTGTCATCCCAGGCCTTGGCATTGAGGTGAGGAACTCCTCGATCATCGAAACCGGCCCAAAGCCCAGCTTGGTCACCTGGGGACATCACCGAAGCATCCGTGAAAAGCGGGCAGCATCAGTGGCCAAACGGGAAAGACGTCAAAACCAGCTCCAAAACTCAGTTCTGTCATCAAACCCCAAGAAATGCGCGGACGAGAAATGGGCCACTCACCAGATTGAAAGTGCAACTTCAGGTCGACGGCCTGAGACCGAAGTTGCACTGGATGCGGGCTCGGCAAAGAAAAGCTCCAGGTGAGAACACACCGTGGAAGTTGGGATCCGAAGCTAAAGCACCAACTGTGCAACAACAAAAAATAGATAATAAGACTAATTAAACTATATAATAACCAGAGATTTCGCAGCAGCGCCGGAAGACAATTGAAGAAACCGTTCCATATCAAACTTGAGTTGAACAAAATTATCCCTCACAAAGCCTGACACCCCACATTCCGACATGGTCCCACATGGCTCCACATAGCACAAAGGAAGGTCGAAACCTTCCTTCAATTCCTCTTCCTTCGCATTTCCTGGAGATTTTGACAACAGTAAGAGGGTTGTGAGAGCATTCGGTACTATGTTAGCTTTCGGACCTGAAAGAAATACCCCCACGCCTCCGGTGGCGGGTTTGCCTCGATCTCATCGGGGTCGATGAAGTCCTGAAACTGGACGAACGCCGTGTTCGTCCAAGGCAGATCGGGGTGGATATGCCATGCTGGGGAGGTGGTTCCTAGGAACCCATGGGTGGGGAACCTCTACCAACCGAGGTGGTGAAGCTTTCCTAGATTTCAGCTCATGGACAGAAAGAGGTCGCTTTTGGCAAAAGCTACTAAAGAAAGGATCCACTCATTACAAGATACTCATCTGGGAGGCAGCTGTGTGATATCCACTTCTGTTGGTACTCTACTCTTTGGGAAGAGTGCAGCTACTACTCGGGCCACCGGATGGTCACAAGGAAGCCCCACCAGACGGTTTGGCGTTGCTGCGTGTCCTCTTCACCGGGCACGGTTTCTCCCTCCGCCATGGCTCATCCCTCGTCCCCATTGCGGAAGAGCCGAAACGGAGGTGACAAAGGTGATGCCTGTGCAACATTCAAGAAGAGAAGTAAGGAAGAAACGAAGCAGCATGCAGACACAAATGCTTTTCTAAGGGCACAAAAGGTCACAACAAAGCCGACAAAAGGTTACTTTTGGTCTACTATGGTCTACTGAAGCCGCTCATTCCACGTGAATCCAAGGCTCCCGGCCGCTGCGCCCCGAGCACCCTCAGTAGGCGATCCACGGGTCATCTCGTCGGGGCCAAGGGTCCCAACATAAAACCATAAATCACTCTACCAAACGAACGAAGCTCAACAAGCATCCAAAACTCCCAAACAAGCACAAACAATCCAGAAACCAACCCACACATTTGCTCAACAAAACACCTTAGACTAGACTCGGAACAACCCAATTTGAGCATAATTATGCTTAGCTGCTCTGCAATTGAATTGAGGAAACAAACCTCCAAAGCCCAAGAAAGCCTTTTGAAGAAGATTGGGGAAGGTTTTGTACGTATGGTGTTGCAGCTAAAATGTGTTTTTATCTTTGACTTTGGCTTGGCGCACCAAGCAGCCGCTTGATGGTCAGCCACGAATTAAAATAGACGTCCACATGGTCCACATAGTTTTTTTTTTACAAGTAGACTGTAGAGACTCATGATATTCAGCGCTTGAGCGGCGTGCCTCTTCAGGTCATGAGGGGTATGCTCGTCGTAGCTGCTGTCCGGGTAGACTCAATGCTGGGAACCAGACCAGTGCAATGGTAAACCAGTGCTGCTCATAAAGCCCCTATCGTATGCATGCATATTCTGCATGGCACATGTGTACAAGCACATGCATTAGCCCGTGCCTGTCTCCCAGCTCACGAACATCGTCAATAAAGCGGTTGTCAGTGTTGCATCTTGTTGCACATATTTGTGGCTTTGAGAACAATTATATTATATACATCGTCACACAGTCGTTGTTTTGCGCGCCAAGGCGAGGTCACCATTTCAGAGCTGCTTTTACTATACAGTTTGCATGCCAATGCAAAATGGCTTCTTTCTTCAAGCTGGGAGCTCCAGGATGTTTCGATGTTTCTGTGCAAAAACAGGTTTATTTGGATCCTGGTTGGTCGGTTGACGTTGGTCTTCCTGGTTTCCTAAAGCCGTTCATTGAAGCTACCAGTATATTATACTGTAGTTAAATAAAGTCATGTAGTACAGGATCATACTGTACGTTCACATAGATTAAGATTGCAACAAGGACATTGCAACAAAAAAAATGGACATCAGAAACGGCCAATTGCCTTTCAAACTAGGACCAACGCATGCTTGGATGACACAAGCACAAACTTGCTGCAACTGTTCGTGAAATGTGAAGAACTGTCGGCTTTCTACACCAAACCACCAGCATCCACCAGCAATACCTTGCTAATAAATGCCGGTAGTGAATTGATTAGGATATGTTGACACCACATGAAAAAGTCCAGAAATAGCCAACCCGGACATCTCAACTTACAAGCGAGAAGCTCATAGAGCGGCAGTCGCTTGGCCATGGGTGCTGTCGCTGGCGGTTATTGGTCAATTTTCAGCCATGGGACTACACCTCTATTGACTTTTTGTGTGTGAAGCAGTTGTTCAGCGAGACGGCTCTTGAATTGTGGGGGATTGTGTACCTTGCCGGGTCCCAATCCTTGGTGTATGTCTGGCTAGCACCACACCATTTGCATTGCTCACACTGTTGGAAGGTGTTGGAAGCACTTAAGGTTCTCCATTCCCCAATTGAACTGACAAAGTATTGAAGCTTGCGGTATTCGACGTCATGTTCTCTGCATGGGCCCGCATCTTTTGATTCTGGGCTTCCATGCATCTAAGCCAAAGCTGCGGCGGCAAACAAACCGAAGGTCTGAGAAAAACACCCACATGACATGTAATGTTATTTCACACATGCAGCCTCAAAAGCTTTGCAAAGGCCTCCTAATACGCCCTGAATGATTGAGGCGACTTTGAAGTCAGCTGAGTGTTTGTTGTGTGAGCTTTGAATGCCAAGCTTTCATCGGACATTTTACTAACAGCCGATAGTGAAGATCAACGAGGCACCTCTAACATCCTCGAATGAACAAGTCTTGGACTAGGTGACAGGACAATCTTGTTAACCAAAGCTTCCCTTGAGCGGCTTACGGCATCTGCGGATGTCTGACCCTTTTTTTCACATCAAGTCTTTGAGCTGAGAATTTCTCCGCAAGACGTGTGGCCCTTGAGGCCACATTGACAGTTCCGCTTTTGGTGCGTCCCGACCTGTTCGCTGGCCGAAGCAGGCTAAGGCTGCAAAAACTGATGCAATCCAAGACTAGCTGACCTCAGCTTACAAAACTGGCTGACTCAGCTGTTTGGGGCTCTTTTCCAGCGAACGGACACCCCCTTTCACTCTTAGGCCGCTAAAAAAGCAAGCGTTTACTCAAGCGAGCGGCTATGATTGGTCATGGTGCCAGGACCCCTCGGGCGCCCCGAAAGTCCGTGAAACAGCTGCATACGAGTGACGCATTGACGGCTAAAGTGCAACACGGTCTAAGTCTCCATATATGCCGTGGTTTCAGGGTAGATGGCCCAACACCCTACAACTCGAGGGCCCAGGGTGAAAGCAAATGGCACAGTTTTCGTGCATTGGATTACATAGGGCCCCAAAAACACTACATGGGATTCGTTGCGCCCTCTACCATGTCTACACCATGTCTAGTAACAAGAAGCTACTACTACAGTAGGTTGGAGGCCATCCTACAAGCAGTTCCCCGGCAAGCCGGCGGCGGATGTTTCCTATGAGAACAAATTGACCTATAGGAGTGTCTCGGTTCTTTCCACCATGCGTCTCCCTCGTGTCCCTCAGTCAGACGCATGAGTGATGAGTGATGAGTGAAGCATAGCTCTAGCTCTAGCTCCACTAAACTGGAGCTAGACGTTAACTATCATGTGATAGCTTGTCTAGACTCGAAGCTAATTAGCTCAAATTTGTCAACCTCTCAAAACACATGTTTTGAGGTCTCCAGAAAGTAATGGAAATGACCACTTTTGAGTAGGCAAAGCAGCTAAAATTTGTCAACCTCAAGAGAGCCGGGTGGTCGGGAGACATGACTCAGCTGCAGGGGCGCCAGAGCAGCCGCGAGAGATGACTCGGCCGCGTACTAAAGTTGTACTACCAAGTCGCCAGTTCTCATCTTCCAGCTCGCCAGATACTCCGCGTACTAGAGTTGCACTACAAAGTCGCCAGTTCTCAGCTTCCAGCTCCACAGATTGCTCCACGTACTAAAGTTGTACTACAAAGTCGCCAGTTCTCAGCTACCAGCTCCCGTACTAAAGTTCTACTACAAAGTCGCCAGTTCTCAGCTTCCAGCTCCACAGATTGCTCCGCGCACGAAAGTTGCACTACTAAGTCGCCAGTTCTCAGCTTCCAGCTCTCAAGGTTCCTCCGCGTACTACAGTTGTACTATAAAGTCGCCAGTTCTCGGCCTCCGCCTCGCCAGATTACTCCGCGTACGAAAGTTGTACAACAAAGTCGCCAGTTCTCAGCCTCCAGCTCCCCAGCCTGCTCCGCGTACTAAAGTTGTATATACTACAAAGTCACCAGTTCTCAGCCTGCACATGGAGGTTCACAAAGTGCTGTGCCTGCCACGAACTCTGCGCATGGAGGTTGACAAAGTGCTGCGCCTGCCGCGAAATCTGCACATGGAGGTTCACAAAGTGCTGTGCCTGCCACGAACTCTGCACATGGAGGTTCACCAGTGATGTGCCTGCCACGAAAAATCTACACATGGATGTTCACAAAGCGCTGTGCCTGCCAAGAAATCTGCACCTCGAGGTTCACAAAGTGCTGCGCCTGCCACAAATT